AATTTTGAAAATATAAATATGTTTTTTCCAATCCGTCTATTTTTCAATATTATTTGATTCATGTATTCAGGATTATTTTTATTCAAGTGACCAACTATGAAAACGCCGTTCCCAATTTTAAACATTTTACGTTTCCTCGCAGGTGACATTATTGTTTTGCAAAGCGCATGAGCTTCTTCGTTGTCTCTTAGCCATTCATTTTTATACGTGTATACTGCCATGTGCATATTTCAATTCGAAATTATTTGCAAATGAGGAGAATTACTGCCGCGAACCATAGCTTTTAATTTTCCATTTAAGTCTTCTAGAGGAAAACACGAAGTAGTGAAATGCGGCCCGAACCGACGGACCATTAAAGGTAAGTGTCTCAGAACATTGCAGGACAAAAAATCGGAATCGTATAAATCTGGAAGCTTTTCTATGAATTTTTCAAAACATTTATCAGACAGACTTATCATACTCTCTGTAACTTTTTCTTTGCACAGTAAGTGAGTCCCCAATACCAGTAACATATAATGATTTAAATATTCCACAGGCAGTATCCCGTATAAAACGGGTAATGAATAATATAATGCCCAATTTTTTAACTCAGATGCTTTCCAATAGCAGAAGTGTGTTTTTATAGGTCTCGGTCGCCTTGCTACTGAAGAAGGTGGCTTGATTGAACACAATCGGTAATCAACTACCTTAATCAAGTGGTGGAATGAAAATTTTTGTCCAATAAATTTTGCATCAAACTGTAAGGCATTTACCTGTTTGAACACTCCTTCAAAAAGACAATGCATGTTATCGACGGCGGTAGAAGTTATATGATTACGACAAATTTTCGACAACATTGATGGCCCTTTTACACCGCATACTGGCATGTTAGATTCTACAGCAGATTGTGCATGATTTATAGATTTTTCGTTAGTGCGAAGACGAAATTGCTTTTTATGAGGATATATGCGTCTCCTATTCAAGGTTTCACCTGGCTCTAAACACACTTGACACCCAAACCTACCATTGTATTGATGCATGCTGGTAAATCGGCTGTACCGCCCGCGTAAAAATCGAAAATATTGCCAATATATTGCGGAAATATTGGCAAAAAGTATTAGAGATATATTGGCAATATACTGCCAATATATATTGCAAGGCTATTGGCAATATTTATCTTGAGGTCGATTAGCAAAATATTGCCAATAGTTGCTAAGTGAGCCGCAATTTTAGAAACCATTGGCAATATATTGGCAATAGGTATTTTTTAATTAGTTTTTCCAATAGTTTGGCAATATGTTGGCAATACTTTCAAACAATCCTGTGCAATAACTTTCTAATACGTGGGTAATATATGGCCAATACTATCCCAATAAATTCGCAATAGAACGTTGCTGAGCTTTTGCCAATGCTTTTTCAACATATTTTTTATTCATCTCTTATATATATATAAATGTATAAATAACCAAATAAGAGTATTGTACTTTATTTTCAGCAAGCAACACAATTTTACGTTAATGTACAAGTCAACATTGTTTACAATTATTCGCTGTCGAAAATGTGTGAATGTCCATTACAGTTGTATTATTAAGTTATACACAAATGCAAAGTTATTATTAAGTTATTATTAAGTTAAAATTGATTTAAGATATAAATCGCTTACTTATATTACTAATCATTCCTTCTCAACGTTATTTACTGGTTCTACGATGTAATCTGTGTTTGTATTTTCCACCCTTATATGATAACAAACATTTTTCAAAGTTTTGATTTCAATAATTTTGTAATTTTCACACTTAGCAACACATTTATGTATTAATGATAAAGTACCACCTAGCACATCAACAGAAAATGGATTTTCAACTACAAGTTCTTTAATGATTGCGTAATTTTCTCCACGACACTTACACAACTTTTTACATTTACAATTTGTAACGCGCACAAAGTTTTGAATAATACTAAATTTATCTGAACCATCGTAATTATACTGAACATAAAACGACTCGGATTTGTTGTTACTTTGAATTTCTTCTGACGTATACAAGATCTCGTTTTTATATAATTTTGAAAATACAAAGACATTTTTATCAACCCAATTGTTATTTACTAAAATTTCATGCATGTATGCAAGTGGTTGTTTTATCAAATGACCAACTATTGAAATGCTTTTTTCAATTTTTATGGATTTAAATTTTCTTGTGGGCGATAAAATTTTGTTGCAAAGTTCAAGAGCTTTTTTGTTTCCTTCTAACCATTTATCTTTGTAAGTGTAAACTGACATATAAATACTTAGATTAGAAATAATTTGCAAGTGCGGAGATTTACTCCCGCGTACCATCGCTTTCAATTTTCCGTTCAAGTCTTCAAGTGGAAAGCATGAGGTAGTAAAAAGAGGGCCAAAACGACGAGTCATTAAAGATAAGTGTCTTAATAAGTGTATGTTACAACTCATAAATTTTAATTCATAAAATACTTCGAATGTTTCTATAAACTTTTCAAAACATTTATCTGCTATATCTATCATAGAGTTTGTGATTTTGCTTTGTAATAATAAGTGAAGTCCCAATAATAAATACATATAATGATTCAAATAGTCTGCAGGTAATATACCGTGTAAAACTGGTACTGAATAATATAAAGCAAAATTTTTCAATTCAGAGGCTTTAAAATGACAACTATGCGTTTTTATCGGTCTTGGTCGTCTTGTTACAGAGCAAGGTGGTTTGATTGAGCATAGTCTAAAATCGACAACTTCCACTAAATTATTAAATGAAAATTTTTCGCCAATAAACTTTTCATCAAACCATAGTTGAACGAGTCGTTTTATTATTCCCTCGAATGCGCAGTGCATAAGATCGATAGCTGTAGAAGTTAGGTAATTAGGTACAATTTTTGACAAAATTGAGGGACCTTTAACGCCGCATACAGGCATATTCGCTTCATATTCGGTGCTTTTCATATTCGGTCATTTCATCACTAAAGAATTTTTCAAATTGATAATAGCTAGTTGGACATTTGTGCGGCACAATAAAGCATAGCGCGAATAATTTTAAGAGATCAGCAGCACACGCTTTAGTGATTTGATGTCGCAGAATAATAGTGGCAAAAGTAATAACAAACGCTAATACAGTCATTTCCGATCCAGGGAACAGCTTTTCTCCATGGTTAGATTTATAGTGACTCTCTTGCTTGACTTCTTCGTTGCTCGAATGACTGCTTTTTTCGCTAAAGTCGTCATCTTTGATGTCACTTTCATAATTATCTACATGAAATATCAATAAATGAACGCTTAAAACATCAGAATTTTAAATTGCCAAATAAAAGTACTTTCACTAAAGCACGAAATTGAAAGCTCGTTTACTCTGTTGGTAACATGTTAGAATTTGAGCCCTTCAAATTCTACCAATCTCGAAACGTGTACTATATATAATAGCCGTTTTCTGTTACTTCGAAATATTTTTCCTTGGAATATTAGTATTATAATAAAAAATGATTGTAACATTATTTGTAGATTCAAGAAATGCATCAATCAATGCAAATTGATTTGCAATATCAAAGGTAATCTTAGTTCATACTTAGTGTAAGTATAGATGAATGAATATTACCGTAATCAAATTTAGGATGATTCATTGGATCATTATTTTCGTCGACGTCCATATCGCAGCAGTCAAAGTAAGCATTAAAATCGTCATTTTCAACTTGAACGTCATAGCTCATCCCCATCTAATTGAATGTTTAATTCAACGTTTCATCTTAGCACTCTTTCTTATATTGTATTATATAATCATACACGAATCAATTTTTATTTACATTACTAGTTGTAGTTTTATCCTGTGCTGTATGATATTCGGTAACGCCACAATCATTCTTCATATATTTTTCCAAGCGACATTGCATTAGAGGAGAGTATTCTTCGAAATGATTTCTTATTTTCGGCATTTTTACTAATATCCGTACTAACAAATTTGAAATTACGTATCTGTCATTACAGGTTAATCTATCGAAGTACATAGAAAAGTTTGTTTTGTTTGTTTGTTTTTTCGCAGTCTTGTTTTCTTTTCTTTTTGTTGATTAAGGTTAAATACCGTTAGTATTCAAAAGCAAAGTACGGTATAAGATTCCCATTTACGATTCGCAGCAAGATGTACGCTTTAATATTGTGGCTAGATTATAAGACTACCAGTGTGATTAATATCAAGCAATTAGAACCTGATGATGAAGAAGGAAAAGAAACGATGGCCAGATACGACGACGGGAAACTGTATCGAATCAAAATTGTCAAAAAAAATGGTAAAGTTTATTCAAATGCATGTATATTCGTAATAAGTTTTTCAAAATTTTTGCCTGCCTGAGTGAAAGTTAAATAAAAAAAAATATGTACCCAACGTAGCTGATGAACGTTATCTAAGTAACCTGACTGTCAGCACTGATGGAGAACTTATCATAACTAAGAAAAAAAATTACCTCAAGAAGATAGCTACCTCAGAACAAAACTATTTAAAACAGAAAGCCATCTTCGAGAAAAGTAAATTGCAAAGAAAGTTATATTCTAGTAATGTATCATTAATAAGCTCTAATTCTATTTTTCAAGATTTTGAAATATCAAAAGAAGAGAAGAAATTGGTATAAAGAAAAAAATACTTCTCATTATCAACCTATATGATTTTATTATTCATTGCTAATTTATTTTACATGCTAGAACGCACAACCTGGTGACACCAAGCAAGTTGCAATTTCAAAATCAGGCAGCGACGGCAAAAAAGAGCGCCCGAAAAGATCGACAGCAGAAAAGCAACGTGATAGCAACTTTGAGTGGGGCAGAATAAATACTCGAGTATCAACATCAAATAAATGTAACTAAATAAATTTTTCTATTAAATTAAATATAACTTATTACGAACAGAGAGAGAGAGAGAGAGCGAAGAATGCAACAAGTTCTACCAAATTTCGCTTCAATTATGTGTCAAACAATGGCGACAGTGATTCCTCCACAAAAAATACAGGACAGCAGACGTTACAAATCACAACTGGCTCTAAGAATAATATACAGGTATCAATTATTTCTAACATTACAGCTCAGATATTTTGAACAACGAATATATAAAATAGAAATCCACTTTTGTTTTAAAAAGTTTACTTAAAAATATTATCATTGCAAAAGCAAGGAATAAATGAAACTTGTTTTTTTAATTTAACTTTCAAAAAAGCCTGTGATGATCCTCGATAATTTATAAATTTTATTTCAGATTCACGATGCTGATATTGAGAAGCGGAACAACAAATTTCGTTCACCTTCTCGCTTACCTCCTTGTGCACCTCTTGACGCACCTCATCGCTCACCTTCTCGCTCACCTCATCTCTCACCTCCTCACTCATCTCTTCGCTCACCTCACCGCTCACCTTTTCACTTACCTCCTCGTGCACCTTCTCGCTTACCTCCTCGTGCACCTCTTGACGCATCTCATCGCTCACCTCACCTCCCACTTCCTCACTCATCTCACCGCTCACCTTCTCGCTCACCTCTTTACTCACCCCGTCGCTCACCTTTTCGTTCACCTTCTCGCTCACTTCTTCGCTCACCTCACTGCTCACCTTCTCGCTCACCTCTTCACTCACCCCGTCGCTCACCCCGTCGCTCACCCCGTCGCTCACCTTCTCGCTCACCTTCTCGCTCACCTTCTCACTCACCTCGTCGTTCATCTTTTCACTCAACTCGATGCTTACCTCCTCGTGCACCTCTTGGCTCACCTCTTCGCTCACCTTGCTCGCCTCGCCACTCACCTATTCACTCACCTACCCACTCGAATCGTAACCGAAATAGAAATGAACGTGGGCAACGAACAAATTTATATCCAAACGAGGTTAATTTATTTTGACTTATATATACATATTTTTTTTAAATAGATAAAATAGCTCAATCTAACACTTAATCAATACTGATAGCCCGACGATGAAAACGAGAATGTAGTAGAAGATCCTTTAACGGAGAGCAGGCTGTATAAACCTGGAAAAGTTTTAATATCTGAAGATTTCCCGGAAATATGGATAAATAAAACTGATCTTTCCTGTTTATTAAGATGGAAAAACAATCCAAAAGAAATGGCGCGCCGGTTATTAAGATTACTTGTTGGCGAAAAAAATTTGAAAAATATGTGTGCCAGGGGAAAATCTTCAAAAAAAAATCCAATTCCAAAGGACATTACAGCCTGCATTGAGTGTAAGATCATAAATACAATTATTAATTATGATTACGAACGAAACGCGTAAATACATTATAGCAATAAATTATGAAAAACAATTAGTTAAACAACTGAATTGCATTTATTCCAGACTATGTCAACAAGAAGTGTCTTATAGGTCTCACTCCCGCGCAGTTTACCACAGTGGCTAATTATATGATTGGATCTATACGCCATCCAAAGAAATAACAATTAGATACATAATATCCTACATGAACTTGTTGCATTGTACTCTTTATTTTTGGTAGCAAATACTTGTTGTTAACTTGTTCTGAGTTTTTAAAATAAAATTGTCATATTATAGGAAATAAAGTACAATACTCTTATTTGGTTATTTATACATTTATATATATAAGAGATGAATAAAAAATATGTTGAAAAAGCATTGGCAAAAGCTCAGCAACGTTCTATTGCGAATTTATTGGGATAGTATTGGCCATATATTGCCCACGTATTAGAAAGTTATTGCACAGGATTGTTTGAAAGTATTGCCAACATATTGCCAAACTATTGGAAAAACTAATTAAAAAATACCTATTGCCAATATATTGCCAATGGTTTCTAAAATTGCGGTTCACTTAGCAACTATTGGCAATATTTTGCTAATCGACCTCAAGATAAATATTGTCAATAGCCTTGCAATATATATTGGCAGTATATTGCCAATATATCTCTAATACTTTTTGCCAATATTTCCGCAATATATTGGCAATATTTTCGATTTTTACGCGGGATAATTTATTGAATATCGGTTATGCAGATAGATATAAGGATAAACAAAAATTTACTTAAGGAAAATGATTGATAACAGTTACATTTACTTGCTTCTTTTACGATTTCAACTACGTAACTAGTCCAAGTTTGATCAGGCTTCTTTTCACTTTCAGTCCAACGTGACATAAAGCCGTAGTCCTCTTTATTTGCATATTTACAGAATAACAAATCATTGATTTGTTTGACCCACGATCTTGGAACTAGATCTACGGCTTTTTTTCCATTTGGCAAAGAGTAATCTTGAAAACGGACAACTAGAAACTTTGTACTCTCTTTGATAGACATCTTGCGTGATTTTTGCGCGTTCACGGCTAGCTCTCACGTCAAATAAGTTGTGATTGAAAAAAACAAACAAATACCAAATTAACCTTTTATTCGCTATATTTATATGACTATGAGACTTGAATTTTTTTAAATAATTTGTGATTACTAATGTAAACATTCACTTATATAACTTGATCCAATTTTCAACTGAAAACATTTGCAGAGAATATTAAGAGAATATAAAGTGATCTTTCCATTTTTCTATATGAATTTCGCTACTGGTCTTTCCTTTCTTTTCCTATATCTGTTGCGAGAATGGTCAGCCTCTGTGCACCTTGAGCTGAACTTTGCTAATTATTTTCATGGGTTTTGCCTCGGTGAAGGAAGCCGGCGTGGACTTCCACGGGTCAACTGATCGCTCTGGTTGGGGTTGGGCGATATCAAGAATTTGACGAGAAAATTTATAATAGGCGATTACTTTATTTACGTCACATGTAAATGATACTAGAACCTAAATACAATTACGCTTGGGCGAGCGCGCTTGCGCAGCCTGTACCGTTACAAATTCGCCAGAACACGCGAGCGAATTCGCTCTGCATGCGCATTGCGTTGCTTAATTTATTTGCAATGATGTGAATGAGCAAGAGCTGGCGCGAGACAAAAAAAAAACAAAACTCATGAGAGCTACCCACTAAGCGCTACAGATCTGCAAGCGGAGAGCGGATTATTCTATTATTTTTTTTCTATAATTTCCATTATTCTTTTTCTATTATTCCACCTTCATTTCTAGTTCTTGCGTTCCAGTCTCCTCTTATTATCAATAGTTCTTCTTTCCTCTCTTTTATATTATCCATGATTTTTGCTATTGTGTCATTTACATCTTGACTGTAAACAGTAACTATTTTCCAAACATTATTATTGTATTATATACACATTTTTACCGCATTCTCACTCCATTCATTGTAATCTATTTTTGTAATCTCGTTTTTTATTCCTGTAATGATTCCTCCTATTGCTCGTCCTTTTTTACTTCTTGTAGCATAGTTACACATCCATTTATATTTGTTTGACACTCTTTTTTATTGTGCTCCATGTTTTTTCTTCGACTTTATTATTCACTATTACCTAAACAATAAATATCGAAATTACTCGTCGTGAGAGGGAATTCGAGTACAGGCTTGGTGAACGGAAAAACACATATAGATATATCTAAATTTGTCGTTTTATTACTCGACATAAATATATACGAAATCGGAAATTTATTGATTTAACAATCTAAAAAAAAATTACATGATCCGAATTAAATAATAATCACCAAGTTCGTGCGCATGAATACGTGGATATAACTCATGCTTATAGCTATACGCAATAGAATAGTTGAAGATAATGAAAGAAAAGTGTGTATAATTTCGCCTAATAAGGTCTATCACAAAGAGAAATTATATGAGTACTCACTTGTTTGAGTTAAAATTTTGGTATATATCGGTCCAATGTATTTTATTCCAATAAGTCCAATAAATCCAATAAGTTCAATAAATTAAATCAAATCCAGAAGGTCCAGTAAATTCAATAAATTCAACGATTCTAATAAACTCAATTCTGTATTTATGCACAACGTAATTCTTTCTAACTATTACAATCCGATAAATTCGATACCGTTTATATGAATAAATAAATAAATAAATAAATAAATAAATAAATAAATAAATAAATAAATAAATAAATAAATAAATAAATAAATAAATAAATAAATAAATAAATAAATAAATAAATAAATAAATAAATAAATAAATTCATATATATATATATATATATGGGACGATCCATGTCAACCGGATCACTGCTGTGTCCAAAATTTGATGTGACCAAAAAAATCGTGCAACGACTCATTTTAAAGCTTAGGATATCTACTTTCTGATGCTGTGTGCGCCTTTGCAAAATCTAACATGGCGGCTACAAGAGACAAACTCGTAAACAAAAAATTTTATTTTTCAAATTTTTAGTAATAAATGTTAAAAAAATTAATATTTCATATTTTTTTATGAAAATCTGGCTCATTTCCTACAAAAAAGTAACAGAGACCATTTTCGCTAAATGAAAAATAAAAAAGTTATAATTTTTTGAAAATTTTCAAAAATAAAAAACTGCGATTTTTTTACTCAGAACGAAATGACTTTGGAAAAAAAATTTAAGGAACAAAATTGCTTGAAATTCATCAAAACACAAGTGTGAATTTTTTCGAATTCCTTTGAGCGATTTTATGAATTTTTGTAAAAGATCTTGGGAAGTTTTTTAATTTTTCAAACAATCCGATAAATCCAAGAAGCAAAAAATCGCTCAAAGGAATTCGAAAAAATTCACACTTGTGTTTTGACGAATTTCAAGCAATTTTGTTCCTTAAATTTTTTTTCCAAAGTCATTTTCTTCTGAGTAAAAAAATCGCAAAGTTTTTTATTTTCAAAAATTTTCAAAAAATTATAACTTTTTTATTTTTCATTTTAGCGAAAATGGTCTCTGTTACTTTTTTGTAGGAAATGAGCCAGATTTTCATAAAAAAATATGAAATATTAATTTTTTTAACATTTATTACTAAAAATTTGAAAAATAAAATTTTTTGTTTACGAGTTTGTCTCTTGTAGCCGCCATATTGGAGCCGCCATGTTGGATTTTGCAAAGGCGCACACAGCATCAGAAAGTAGATATCCTAAGCTTTAAAATGAGTCGTTGCACGATTTTTTTGGTCACATCAAATTTTGGACACAGCAGTGATCCGGTTGACATGAATCATCCCATATATATATACAAGGTGTCAAATAAGTAACGGAACAAGGTTGTAGCGTTTTAGGTACAGATTATTAGACCAAGGTCAAGGTCATTCCTTTAGTAACTCTCAACGCGGAATCCGATGGTGACCTTGGATTTGACCTTGAGATTGACCTTCAAGGTTATTTCAAGGTCAACTTTGTTTTTTTAAATGGGAACCCCTATTTTTGACAACGGCAATTGAAAGAGCGGAAAATTTTACGTCCAAAACGGTATTTTTAAATTTTTTTTCATGGCCTTGAGAAGGTCGATTTAAGGTCAAATGCTTGAAAAACTGCCTAAAAGCGTTTTTTTAACTTTTAAGATATCGAAAAATGACCTCTACAAAATTTGTTCAGAACAGAGTAGGCCACCCAATGCACCAAAAACCTTTGACCTTTAACCTCATTTTGAAGGTCATTTCAAGGTCGAAGTGTTTTTTGTAATAGAAACCCCTATTTTTGACCCCGGATTAGCACATAGCGCGAAATCCGACGTTTGGATAAGGTATTATGTTAAGTTTCGATTGATCCACGACGTTCATCGCTAAGGTCATGTGAAATTTAGATCCAATATTATTCGCGAAACATTTACAAAATGTTTCGGGCTAAATTTATTAAA